TGATGAAGAAACTCCTGTCATTTCGGTTATAAATTCAGATGCCTAGCCCAGGTTCCCAGATCCTGACCCACTGACCCTGTGCTGAAATCTAGGAATCCTACCTTTTGCGGAACACCCTAAGTATTTTGTCAGAGGAGCTGAGCTATGTTGTTAGGTGGTGGTGAAACACAGGTACTTTCACTAGGGTATTTGCATTCTATTGGACAGGAAGGAGTCTGTAATTATGGAATTGTAGTCATCAGTAATCCTATGACAAGAGAACTTCTGTGGAGATGTGTAGTTTGCTGGCAAATCCTATTGTGAAGCTGAAGGTTTTCCCTGCTTCTACCCTGGCTCCCTTTACTGGGTCTTAATTAACAGCAGCAGTGGGGGTGGGTCGGGAAGCTAAAGTCTAGGGATTATCAATCTCCGCTTTAGAATTCCCGGACTTGGAGAGTAGATGATTGTCATTCTTCTCAGCTATTTTGTTGGGCTTTGAAGTCATTGAATTCTGTGCTCAGAATTTTCCTTACCTATAAGAATTTGTTTCTGTAACATGAATTGAAGGGAATAAACTTGATTTTCAAAAACAGATCCCCAACCGTCTGTCAGTGTATCTGAGATTCCACCATGACAACTGACCTTAGAACATAGGCAGTCCCTCAAAATCTAACAATTCCAGTGCATGCACTTCTGGGTCAATATCATCACTTAGACCTGGTAGTCTAGGATGATTGAATTGGGGCTATGAAGAATGGGAAAGAACAGGGCATGGTGGCGAATGCCTGGAGTCCCAGCATTTGGGAGGTGGAGGCTGGAGGGTCCCTCTGAGTTCACAAGGCCTGGCCTACATCATAGTGAATTCAGGATTGAGCAACATAGCAAGAGCCTGTCTCCAAAAAAAAAAAAAAAAAGTTCAATTCTTACTCTGAACACATATACTCTAAATAAATAAAATTTACATTGAGGCCAGGCATGGTGGTATACACCTGTGATCCCAGCACTCAGGAACCTGGAGAAAGAGGATTGGTGCATGTTTAAGGCCAGCCCAGATGCAGTGAGTTCAAGTCTGTCCTAAATTACAAAGAGATGCTGTCTCAAAAAAACCAAAAAAGGGCTGGGGATTTAGTTCAGTGGTTCTGCTACCTGCCTTTCAAGCTCAAGGTCCAGAGTTGATCCCCAGTACAAAAAAAAAAAAGTAGGATTTAAATTGAAGAGTGAGAGAAAAAAGAAGGAAGAAAAGAAAATGGGAGTGGTTGTTTGGATGAATTTCAGACAAACTGAAACAATTTCTACACTATTGCAAGTCAACTGCTCAAAATTAGAATATATCAAATAGTGGAAGTACATTTTATTATGTTTTTTGACATTGCTATACAATAAAATAACAGCATGTTACTTTTGTATGATGTAATAAATATTAAAATAATTTTATCATTATCATTGTCATTATTATTATTTTTGGTACTAGGGATCAAACTCAGGACCTTGTGCTTTCTTCTTCTTCTTCCTTTTTTTTTTGTACCAGGGATCAAAGTTGGGTCCTTGCGTTTGTGAGGCAGGTGGCAGAACCACTGAGCTAAATCCCTAGCCCATAACCTTGTGCTGTTGAGACAGGTGCAGTGACACTGAGCTAAATCCCCTGCCTGAAATCAATTTTAAATGGCACCTTAAAATATTGAAGCCTATTGCCCTAAGATTGTAACATTGAGAGAAAGTATTCAACATAGTTTTCAAGATAGAAGTACAAGCCGGGCATGGTGGTGCATGCCTGCAATCCCAGCACAGGGAAAGCTGAGGCAGGAGGATTGCCATGAATTCAAGGCCAGCCTGGGCAACACAGTGAGTTCAAGACTAGCCTGGGCTACAGAGCAAAATGCTGTCTCAAAAATAAAATAGCTGGGGATTTAGCTCAGTGGCACTGTGCCTACCTCCCAAGTGCAATTTCCTGAGTTCGATCCCTGGTATTGCAAAAGAAAAAAAGAAAGAAAGCAAAACAAAAAAGATAGAAGTGCATATTGCGTCAGTCAGTATAAGTTGTGTTACATCCATGTCCTTGCTTATGTGTGTGGCCCTGGGTTCAAAGAGAGAAGGAAAGGAGAAAAGCTTCCTTTCGAAAAGTCACACATCATCTTTCCTTTCTTTCTGTGGTTTTTTTTTTTTTTTTTTTTTTGGTACCGGGGATTGAACTCAAGGCCTTTTGCTTGCGAGGCAGGTGGTGGAACCACTGAGCTAAATTCCTGGCCCTGTTTTTTGCTTTTATTGAGGCAGGATCTTTGTAGTCCAGGCTGGTCTTAAACTTACTATGTAGTCCAGGCTGGCCTTCTGGCCTTGAATTCTCGGTGATCTTCCTGCCTCTGCTTCCCATGTGCTGGGATTACATGCATGCACTACCACACCTGGCTGCAAAGTTTATTTCAGAGCTGGGAACATAGGACAGACTCAGGTGCAAGCTGGCCCTAAAAAGACATCATGGAGGGACCAGCCTATACACCCCTCCATGGGCTGTGTTAGAGGTGACCAAAGAAATCTCATGACCTTGGAAAGTTATCTGGGAATGCCTTGATTTCCCTTCTGATAAAGTGGAGATAACAGTGCTCATTATTCAAAAAGGACTCATGATAGCATCTATGAACTTTATTGAAGTCTTGGATAAGCATATCTTGTAAGTGCTACTGTGTCTGTTCTTTTTAGCATCATCTCAGTTGCCTGAGGTGACTTTAATTTGACTTCAGGTCTTCTAGCACGTAGCTATTCTTAAAGAACTGTTTTTTTTTGTTTGTTTTTTTGGTCTTTGTTTTTGTTTTTTGTACCAGGGATAGAATTTAGGACCTTTTGCACTTGTGAGGCAGACACGGCACCACTGACCTAAATCCCCAGCCCAAGAAGTCATTTTTTTAAAAATTGAGTTTATTGGTACATTTTAAGTGTACAGTACAGTTACATTCATTATTGAGATCTTATACCTTTACATGACAGGTCTTGGTTCTCATTTTTTCCCCTTGTCCCTGCCCTCCCTTCACCCCCTCCTCCCCTCCCCATTTACAAACACTTTATTTCCATTTTTTCATTTTCTCATATAAGAACTCATTGTTTTTAACATTTATTCTGAGATAAGGGGAAGGGGAAGGAAATCCCCCTCTCTAAACCACAATAACAACTCTATCATGGCAGATTGAAACTCTATTAATTTCCTTATCTTCAACTTCAGTAAAAATCATTTTCCGAGAAGAATCTTCTGTTTTGATGGTTTAACATTTAGTGTATCATTTTAGACTTCACTTTGTAGCACTTCTTTTACATGAAAGTCTGAGTTGCCAAGCCGTGAAGGATTCTAGTAAGAAATGCTGTAGATGTGGAAAACGAGCAATTATTTTTTGAAGAATTAAGGCTGCAACTATTTGAGCCATGCCTGTTACATCAAATCAGATATTTTTCTCCCAAGACAATTTGTAGTTTCCTTTTCCATCATTTAGGTTGTAAGCTATGGGAATAAGTGCAAACAAGTGTTCAGTGGCAGCTATGATTTTGATTTTGATACTATATCCAAGCCACGCCAGGCGAGTGCATTTGGCTTTGCAGCAGGCCCCTGCACACTGATACCCATGCACAGCCGTAATGGGAAACATTTGAGTTTGGTTGCAGAGGTTTGCTCAGTGTGAAATCTGTTCCTAACACAATGGTCAGATTGAAAGGAGTTTCATTACATGGCTGGGCATTGCTTCTTTCTTTGGGGAATATAAAAGGTGAATGCAATACTTTCCAGTTTAAAGTTACCACAAAACTTCATCATCTTAACCTCAAAATCAACTCCTAAATTTACACTGAGAACGAGAGAGGCCGTGAGCTGGCCGCAACTGCCTGTTTGATCTTGGTTAAGTTCCAAACAGCCAGGGAGAGTTCAAAGGAGGGCCAGGAGCACTTTAATTCCTGCTCTTCTTTTTCTTCCCTCCACTCCTGTCCCCATCCTTCGGTATGAACTCCAGTCTGTATCCATTTCAATAACCCCAGATGCCTCGGATTCTGGAACAATGGGAAAGCCCCTTTCCTTATTGATACTGACAGGCCCTTTGGTCCCAAAATGTCCCTCAACAGATGTTAGAGAATGTGATCATAAACCAGAGAGATATCTGTTACCACCTTTAAGGCTGTTTTATTTCTAGCTCTCTACATTCCACTGGATAAGGTTTAATTTTTTTTTTTTTCTTCCCTTCAGAACCCTCTCTTGAGGATTTAGGATACAGGAAAAGTAGTTAGGGCTTCATATAAGTTGCTGAGTTTGATTTAACAAAGTTGCCCCCTCCTTACCTTCCCAAAAGGAAATGGAGAAAGAGCATAAAGGACAGTTATGAAGTGATACCAATATTAAAACAAGATTGAGTTTATTTTATTATTCAAGGTACTATATTTGGAAACTGAATAATGTTCTCCTCTTCCTTTTCTTCTTTTTTAATTTAAACAGTCTGGATGTTATTTTAGTCCAGTCACATTATTGGAAGAAGGTTTTGGGTTATTTTAACTCTGGCTAGTGAGTGTATCTCTCTGATACTAAAGACTGGAAGTGCATGCGGGCTTTGAGGCCCTGAAGTGAATCATTGCCTTAGGACTGATCTAGCCTGAAGTCCACTTTCCATCAAAGGGAAGAGCTATCAATTGGCGGCAAAGAACACGTACTGCACTTGATCTTTGCCTAGAGGCCAAGAGGCAATGGCTATGAAGCCTATTAATGCCTAATAAAGGGACTACTTTTTGCTCATAAATAAATAAAACTGGAGGTTTTCTTTCTTCTTTTTTCATTTTTAGTACTGAGATCAAATCCACGGGTGTTTCAACCCTGAACTATATCCCCACCGTTTTAAAATTTTACCTTTTATTTTGAGGCAGAGGGTCACTGGGTTGCTCAGGCTGGCCTTGAAGATTTCAGTCTTGCTGCCTCAGCTTCCTGAGCAGCTGGGGTTACAGGCATGTACCACTGTGCCTGGCTCCTAAAACTGTACCACAGTGTCTTCATCTTTCCCAAGGAGATCTACTTTCTATGGCGCCAACCACACCAGTCGGCCAGATAAACAGTGGCAAGGAGGAGGCCAAAGGAACAAGACAGGCAGGCTGCCCAAGGTGACAGTTTCGCCAGAGTGTGTGGCTTTGCTTCCCCATCACTTGGAGTCCATGTAAGCCCTCTCTTTCTACATGTCTTACTCTGACACATGCCCCTCAATTTTTTTTTTTGTACAGGGGATCAAATTCAGGACCTTGAACTTGCAGGGCAGGTGGTGGAACCACTGAGCTAAATCCCCAGCCCCACCCCTTGATTTTTGAGCTTGGCAGTGTGCTAGTCACCTTCCAGTCCCTGTAACAAAATTCCTGAGACAATTCACTTTAAGGAGGAAAGATTTATTCTGGCTCATGGGTCTAGTCTTCTCCATGATTGGTTGAATCTGTTGTTTTGGGTCTGTGATGACGCAGTGTGTGGTGGTGGAGGGTGTGTGGTAGCAAAACCGCTCACCCTGTCAGTCAGGAAGCAAAGTTTAAAAAAAAAGAAAGGAAGGAAGGAGGGGAGGGAGGGAGGAAAGAAAGCAGTAGGGGCTGGGTCCTATAGTCCTCTTGGAGGCCCCATCCCCAGTGACCGAAGGGCCTCCCACCTGGCCCCCCAAGAGCGCCACTGCAGGGCCAGATCTGCAACAGATAAGCTTTGGGGGAGCAGTGAGAGGGAGGGCAGTTTTGCTTGTATTTTCAATGCAAATCCTCTGAGCACTGCACGAGGAAGTTCATGGTGAGAGGAAGGCTGTCTGATAACGTGAGTGCAGGCACACTTTGGAAGTTATGCAGATCTTGGGTTGCAAGAGGTGTGTGTGTGTGTGTGTGTGTGTGTGTGTGTGTGTGTGTGTGTGAACGTATGCACACGCGCATGCACACAAGCCCTGTACACGCTCTGTCTTCTGTTGAAAGGGTGTGTCCCCTACTCTGAGCTCAGGAAGATCTTCGTGGCTGCCTGCACAGATCGCGTGTGCCAGGAGTGACTCAGTTTAACCCCTGAGGAGTGGTGAGGGGTGCGTGCTGTCCACCCAAGATGCCCACCTTCCGATCCAGCCGCCTGGCAGAACGAGGCCGAGCCACATGGAGAGACCACTTGGCCAGCGAATCTGCAGCTGTCACTCCGAGGGGTTGCACAGAAAGATGGAAATGGGTGGAACGGGGGAAAAGGACGAGGACAGAAATGAATATGGCGCTGCTTCACGGCTGAACACCGGTGATGGGTTTCCATCTCTATCAGGTACTGTTCTAGAAGGTGGGGCCCAGCTGTGAACAAAACACACACAACTCCTCTCCCTGCAGAGTCTGTAAATTCAGCCTGTTGAGTCTTCTGCAACTGGGAGAACCAAACTGGGGTTTTTATATAATCATGACCAATGTTTGTAATTACAGTGTCATTATTTTTATGGGGATTGATTCTTCTGAGATAGAATTCCTCTTATTTCCTTTTCCTCCTCTTTTCCCTTTTTTCCCTCTCCCCTCCTCCTCCGTCTGAGATGTCAGTCTGTGGTCCGGGTCAGTCTCAAACTCCTGGACACAAGTAATCCTCCCTCCTCAGCTTCTGGAGTACCCGAGTGGACCTTCAGGTGTGTGCCACCTCACCTGACTAATATTTACTTTTTTATGTGCCTAGAAAACTGCAGAGAGAAGTGAAGGCCTAGGGCTGGCTACCTCCAGAGGATTACGAAGGGCAGACAATGTATGGAGGTGCGGGAAGGAAAAGGAAAAGCCTGGTCAGTGGGAACTCAGTGATGGAGGATGAGGGTCATTCTGGGTTCACTGTTGCAGCCCATCTTTGTGCCAGTTTTCTGCCTCCAGTAGTCATAGTTGTCTTTCTTTTTCCTGGTACAAGAGAAGGGAGGGAGAGGGACTCATAAAGGGAAACTCATGTCCTGCTTTTAGGCAAATGGGAGCAGGACGGAGAACTCTTTCTATATTTTCTTCTTTTTCCTAGCCCCTTTTTACATTTTAAATTCACAGGGTCTCGGGAAGTTGCGCAAGCTGTTTTTTTTTTTTTTTTTTTGATTCCAGGGATCAACTCAGGTCCTTGCATTTGTGAGGCAGGCGCCAGAACCACTAAGCTAAATCCCCAGCCCCCCACCCAAGCTGGTCTTGAACTTGGAATCCTCCTGCCTCAGCCTTCTGAGTAGCTGGGGTTACCGTGCCCAGCTGCATTTGTTGCTTGTGGGCTTTAGTTCAAACTAACCCTTATGCCAAAGTGGCATGGTTGGGGTAACATACGTGTATACACTACAGTGCTGTGGATGACGTCTGGAGCTGGCATGTGCTAATGTGGCCCTGGAAAGCATATTCTGACCCACTCCCGACAGGGCAGAAGACCATGCCCAGCCCTCCTCTGTCAGGGTCCCACTTCCTGTGCATGTGGGGAGGGTGAGCCTGTCTGCACCCACCACGCCAGGGGAGGTCTTAGCCCACAGAAGCGCTCCGTGACCGTCTGGGGAGCAGTGACTGAACCCCAGCGGGCTGGCCAGTGCGCTGCTCTTGAAGAGGTTGAGAAGCAGTCGCCAACTCCTCCAGGCAGGATTTGGTGTCCAGCGGTGGGAGCGTGGTCAGGCGACAGCTGTCAGATGTCTGCTGCTTCAAGGTCTGCTGTATCCCGAGACTGCCTGGCCCCGGGTCACGCTGTATCAGGGGCATCCCGAGTCCCATGACTGACTAGGAGGAGGGAGCTTTCGGGCCATTTCCGTGCCACATGGGCTTCACGGGACCATGCAGAGTGTATTTTCTTTTTTTTTTTTTGGCATGGGGGATTGAACTCGGGTCCTTGCCCTTGTGAGACAGGCGCCAGAATAACTGAGCTATGGGATTACAGGTGTGCGCCACTGGTCCTTCCTGCTATATTCTTAAAAAAAAATCCCCCCCCAGGCAAGGTTTCAGTAAATTGCCCAGGATGGCCTAGAACTCTCGATCCTCTGCCTCAGTCTCCGTAGTACTAGGGTTATAGGTAGGAGCCTCTGCACTTGGCCCTACTGATAACTCTCAGCCCTTGTTAGTTTGTTATACTTTTCTCTCTTTCCTACCTCTTTGTTCTTTCTTTCTTTTTTTCTTTTTTTTTTTTTTTCTTGAGACAGGGTCTCACTATGTAGTTGAGACTGAACTGGAACTCACTATGTAGCCCAGGCTGGTCTCGAACTCACAGAGATCCTTCTGCCTCAGCCTCCCGAGTGCTGGGATCATAGGCATGCGCAACCATGCCTGGCTTTTCTTTTTTTTGGTATCCAGGATCGAACTCGGGTCCTTGTGCTTGCAAGGCAGGCAGTGGAATCTCTGAGTTAAATCCCTGGCCCCCGGCTTTTCTTCTTTCATTTTTTTTTTTTTTTTGCACTGTAAGGATGGAGCCAGAGCCTTGTGCCTGATGGGAAAATGCTTTGTACCCTCAGCTTCTTCTTTCAGTTTTCACAAGATTAGTGAGATTTTTGTCTTCTCTCAGAATCTGACACCTTTTACTTCTTCCCACAGGACATCATGCAGAGAATTTGAGAAAGAAATCAAGCCAGGTGCAGTGGTACATGCCAGTGATCCCAGCACTCAGGAGGCAGAAGCAGGAGCATCACTGCGAGTTTGAAGCCAACCTAGGTTACGCAGTGAGTACAAGGCCTATCTGAACTACATAGTAAGACCCTGTCTCAGAGAAAGAAAGAAATCAACATGAGATGCAAAAGTCAGTGGTTCTTATTATTTTTCTCTATAGCCCACCTTGCCAGCTTTCTTCATTCATCCCGTGATGGTTGATCTTGATTGTTGATGTAAGTGGATTGAGAAACACCCAGGAAAGTAGTGGATCTCATTTCTGGTTGTGTCTTCCTGGGTACTTCCAGAGATGAGTGGCATGTGGGATAGCAAACTGAAGGAGAGACCTGACCTGAAAGGGGGTGGCCCCGTGCAAAGGCCTGGTGGCCAGCCAGATGGGGCAAAATCAGAAGACAAAAGAAGCCTACCAGCATGGGCCACCTCATCTTCTCTGTCTGCTACCACCCTGAGAGATGCAACTTTCCTCTCCCATACCCTGTCTGCCTTTATGTTCTTCCCTTACCACTGGCCAAAGGAATGGAGCCGGTGCACCGTGGACTGGAAGCCCTGAAACCGTGAGCCAAAATAAACCTTTCCTCTTTATGTTGTTTCTTAAATGTTTTTGCCACAGCGACAAAAAGATGACATACACACATCCTAAACCTCAGCTTTTCCTACATCTTCCTCTACCTTCTGCAGCCCTGGATGTGTTTCCTGGAGGGAGGAGGGCTGGGGAAGGACCATAAAGGCATAGACCAGATGCAGGGTGGGTGGAGGGGGGACATACAGGTGACACCTAGGTGGGGAATGACAGGAAGGCTTCACATTAGAGACAGAGCTGGAGGCTCCCGGGGTGGAAGAAAGACTTAAACGTCAAGGAGGAGAGAAGGAGAAGGAGATCCACAGGCATCAAGGAGCCCAGAGATGCTCACTGCTGGGGAGCAAAGGACACAAGGCAGGGGCAGGTGACAACACAGACATTCTGGAGAACAGAAGGGCATTCAGGGAGGAAAGCCAAGGCCACGTAGGGTTGACTTTTTTTTCCCCTTAAGGATTAAGAATGAATCACTGTTTTCATAAGCATCAGTGCACATGCCATATGTTAGGTGTTGCCAGGGTGGAAGACACGACTGAGAACAACACGACTCGAACGTGCAGGCAGCCCTGACTCTGCCCTGTGGACCGGTGGGCATCTGTGGGAGCCGGATCCTCACCCCTCCCTCCTGTAAAATGAAACTCACACCCATATAAACCCTGTGAACCCCTTGGCCCCACTCTGAGGTTAGAGGGGGGTGGAGTTAGTGCATCTTAATGACAGATTCCACAGCAACAAAGTCTCAGTAAACCTCCCATAATTAATTACAGGGAGAAGGGAACAGGATACTAATTTAGGTCATAGACACCTTTGAAAATCTGATGAAAGCGACAGACTCCCCAGAAAAAAAGCACATGTGCATAACCACGCCTGATTTTATTGATGGTGTGTGGGTGTGTGTGAAAATCCCGGGGCGAGGGGATCCATGGATCCCCTGGCTAAGAAGCTCACACTATGGGCATATTTTACATCTGTGATCCAGGCGCAGGGAGGTCGAGGGGCCCCCACATGTGCTAGGAAGCAGAGTGGAGCTCAGCTTCAACCCCTAAGTCTGTTCTAGCTCTCCTGAGAACTTGCAAATCCACCCATGGGGAAGTCAGGCCTATCGATTTGTTTATTTTTCTTAACTTTTCAGTAATTACCAGGGATTTTATTGTTGCTCTTATTGGTTTATTTATTTATTAATTTTTGGGTTCTTGAGACAGGGTCTCACTATGTAGTTGAGACTGATCTAGAACTCACTATGTAGCCCAGGCTGTTCTCGAACTCACAGTGATCCTCCTGCCTCAGCCTCCTGAGTGCTGGGATTACAGGCGTGTGCTACCATGCCTGGGTATTTTTTGAGACAGGGTCTCACTATGTAGTTCAGGGTGTCTTTGAGCTCACTATGTAGCCCAGTCTGGCCTCAAACTCATGGAGATCCTCCTGCGTCAGCCTCCTGAGTGCAGGAATTACAGGCATTGGCCACCATACCCAGCAGTAAAGGAAGAAATTAGATTGTGCTTCCTTTGTATCTTTTGACTGTATCAGTGGTACATTCTTCAGTGACTTCTCCCCCGCAGTCACAAAAGAGAATGGGAGATCTAGTATGTTTGAGGTTCAACCAGACAATATCACACAAGGGGAGATAAAATCAATAACCCAATGTATTACAGTGGCTGCATCTCCCCTTTTGTTAGAAAAACGAAGTCCATTTGTGACTGGATGGCAAACATTAAAGGAGCAAAGTATAGAGAAACCCCACACTGTATAAGCTGACATCTCATACGGTTTTTCCCAAGCAGTGTGTGGACTGGGCAGCCTTTAAGGCACTTGTCAGCCTAAAAGCTTTTGTTTTTTTAGCTTTGCATAGTGGTTGTATCATAGCTAATGAAGTTTATTTGAGGAACGATTATTGCTAATTAAAAGCTTTTTTTCCCCCAGCATTGAAGATTAAACTCAGAGCCTTCACACTGAACTGCATCCTCAGCCCTTTTTTAAATTTTGAGACAAGGTCTTGCAAAGTTGCCTATGTGGGCCTCAAACTTGAGGTTCTCTTGCCTCAGCCACCCAAATAATCTAGGCTTATAATTGTGCACCATCATACTTGACCACAAAGGAGTTTTTTTTTGGAGACAGGGTCTCACTCTGTAATTGAGACTGACCTGGAACTCACTATGTAGCCCAGGCTGGTCTCAAATTCATAGTGATCCTCCTACCTCAGTCTCCTGAGTACTGGGATTACAGGTGAGTACCACCATGCCTGGCTGAAGGAGTTTTGATTGTCTACATTAATGTTCATAGTAACTCATCACTTCGTACTCTCATTGCACTTTCTGGATGTACACCTTTTTGTTTGTTTGCTTTTTGCTGACACACAGTTTGGCTGTGTAGTTCAGGCTGGCCTTGAATTCACTGTGTAGCCCAGGCTGGCCTTGAACTTGTGGAAGCCTTCTTGCCTCAGTCTCCCAAGTAGTTGGGATCACAGGGTTTGCCACCATGGCTGGCTCAACTGTTTGTTCAGCTGTTGTTATTCCCCTTTCTGGTAATGATACCTCATTTTCCCTTTGGAAAACTCCCCACTTCTGATGCATGTGGTTCAAGTGGTATTGGTCTCTCCCTGGCCAAAGATTGATATCCATTTAGATTTAGCAGATTGAATTTCTCTAGAGTCTGGACTCAGAGTTTCTTTTTCTTTGTCTGTGGGGGAAGGAATTGAGGATTAAACCCAGGGCCTTTGTTTTGAGTTACATGTAACCCTTTTTTATTTCTTATTGTAAAACAGGGTCATGCTAAATTGCTAAACTGCCGACACTGGGCTTGAATTTGCAATTTTCTTGCCTCAGCCCCACAGAGTGCTGGAATTACTCGCCTGTGCCAGTGCACTTGGCTCCCCCAACCTTTTTTAACATTTTATTTTGATTCAAAGTGTCACTAAGCTGCCCAGGGTGGCCTTGAACTTGTCATCCTCTAGTCTCAGTTTCTTGTCTCAGCTGGCATTTACAGGTATGCACCACCACTCCTGACTTGAACTTAAGAGTTTTCCAAATGGAAAACCTCTGGTTCTGATCTACTCTGATGGTGGGACTCAAAATAGTGTTCTTTATCTCCTGCTGCCTGGACAGGTGCCTCCCCTTCCCAGGGCTGAGCTTGTTACTATTTCACTTTGTTTTTCCCAGTAAATTTCTTATTTGCTTAAGGTAAGCAGAGTCCAGGTCTGTTGCTGGAAGCCCCAAACCGGGGAAGATACATAGATTGAGTGAGAAAGCACAGGTGTTGTGCAGGATGCCTGAGTCAGTTTGGTTGAAGTGCAACATTCTGCTACAAAAAATAAAAAGAGGTTGTATAAATATGTTGAGCTGAGACTTTAAGGTCCTGAGTTCCTAGTTCCTGGAGATGTTCTTGTGTGGGCTGGATGACCACTTGGCAGGGCTGTTGCTAAGAGACTCAAGCATTACATGAAATGACTTTGAAGTTCATCTTCAACCCAAATTCTGAAACTCTCCCTGGTCATTCACTGTCAGTGAGTGAGTCACATAAGGTGACATCCTGGCCACTGAGGACAGTTGTAGCAAAGTGACAAAGAACACACAGACATGAGTTATCCCAGGGCTGTATGTGGCACCTTTAACAGGCCCACCAGCTGTTAACGAATCTTTACTGTAAATGTGCAAACCTCCCATAGGATTTGAGCAAGCACACATCTAGTTGGTGGAAGATAATTTTGCTATCCCCACATGAGGCAATAATTTGTAAACCATATGAGTTGTGACTGACTTTTAGAGCAGCAGTTGCTAAAATAAAAAAAAATTCAACTTATGGAAAATTTCAACCATCTCTCTGCATAGATCTTTCATTCCCAGAGAGATTTGGTTGGGGCCTTGAGAATGAAGGAAGTTTTCCTAGTTGTAGTCATTTCAAACCAAGCTGCTGGAGTAGAGTAGTGAATGAGGCTAGAGTGAGAAGCAGGGAATAATGAGACGAATTTATGATTTATTTAAATGCTTTCAATTCTCAGGGTGCGTTTTAAAATACGTTTCTTTTCTGGGTGGCAAGTTACCTACCCATAAAGCTTGCTATTGTATATGGCTGCACTAGAAAAATATCACAAGGGGTTATTTGGGGCCATATTGGTTCCTAGTGATGGGTTACAAGTCACCTTTTCATTTATTCTCTGCAATTTACAATCAATCACCTGTCCCCAGCAATCAGGAGCAGATCATTCTTCTGTTTTATCACATCTTTGAGGGCACCCTTGAAAATATGACCTTTAAGCTGGCCATGATGGTGTGTGCTGTAATCCTAGTGTTCTGAGAAGCTGAGGCAGGAGGATTGCAATTTTAATCCAGCATGGGGGGGGGGAAACAAACCCAAAACAAAACAGGACACTAGGGATGCAGCTTAGAGGTCCATACTAGAAAAAAGAAACAAAGAAAAAAAAAAAAACTCAGGTTTCTCTGTCAAGATAGCTCCCTCTCTCACTCACTCCTTCTCCCTCCTCCCCAGGGTTTTGTTCCATATTCCGGGCTGGTA